GAATTGTAGGTGATGGTGAACAAAGGTGAAGCGTTTCGCGCTATTTAAACGCACACGGGAGAGCTTGCTGCAGAAGCAAAAGTGTGGGGCCTTGTTTTGCGAATTTCTGACGGAGCCCGTAGCAGTATCAAAAAAAAGTCTTTTAGATAGTGTTGCGCAGATTTTTGCATCCACCGCGCATTACGTAGCTGATCCCAATTGATATGACGGTCTGTTAATGATACAAATAGAACGTTAAAAAACGGGAGATAGATTATGAAAGCTAACCGAAAAGTAGTTTGCATTTACAAGTGATGATGTGATTACTACCCCATTAATTTGCAAACACTAACTTGACTGGGATAGGCATTTACAAGATCAGCATCTATTCTTTTACCATAAGCTATCTTAAGGCAAAATATCAAATCCACTTAAGCTAAACATGACAGGCAGAAACCTTTTCTTTCTCACATCGTGCATCCATAATAGAGTACGTTTTTATTTACACAACAGCTTCAATTCTTGAACCACCTTTGCACCACAAAGGCGGCAAATCGACCTTTAAGTCGGCTTGAATGCATCTGTCTTTTTAACCACATTCAACTTTTTCATTTCAAAGAGATGAATTTGCGCGACTATTGACCTCTTCCTGCCCCTCCATCTTCTTCTTCTTCTTCTCCTCCTCCTCCTCCTCCTTCACCGTGACATCCTTCTATAAGAACGAAAAAAGACGGATTCGCACTGGTATCAGAGTCGCGAATGTCCTCGATGGATGTGCACTAGAAGTATTACTTGTTGGGCACGCGCCCACACGCGTACTTGTCGAAGTGCCGCCTTTCTCTTGGGTAGTGACATTTTTGTAAGCCTCCACAATTTCATGCATGCACACATACACGTCCCAATGTCATCTTGTCTTCACTACACTCCTGCATTGCTTCCGCTGCGATGTCATCGTAGTGACGAGATGTGGGATTTCGGTTTTACTGAGCTACTGTCCCAGTGGTAAGGCAGCGTCCACGCACACTCAAGCGCCAAAGACTTTTTCAAATTGGTCTCCTGACTCTCATTGACATGCAGCTAATACAAAAGCTTGGATATCCACACACCTCCGTGCCCCTGCCTAGCCTAAATGTCAGCACTGGTGTCTTCCCCGATTAAAAATGTCACATCCCCTTTTCGTCCCCCACAATTCACTTTCCTTTTGTATGTACGCACAGCTTTTTACAACATTATGCATAATTTCCGCACTAACCGTGAAATGTGTATGGATTTTCCTCTACAATTGTGCGCTTTGAGGCTCGCCAGTTCCCTAAGTAGGTGCTCTTTTGCTGTGAACCACGAGAAATCGCAAAAGTTGGCGTTGGTGAACTTTTAAGCTTCTCTTAGTTGGGCATGGAAATGATAACATGCAGAAGTAGATTAGTGTAAATCAGACACTTTTGTTTAAGAATGATCCGATGGAGAAGAAAACGATGAGCTAGTACAATTTGCAAAGAAGTGACTTCATTTACATTCGAAACTAACTGAAGATTTCTTTGAAGGGGACGACTTGACTTTACAAAATGTTATGGATGAATAATTGTGACGAAATAGCCAAATTATCCAAAGGTCTACTTTAGTGCAAGAAATTTGTAACTTTTGTTCCCAGATGAGTAGGGTAAACTACAAACCTTCCTAGAACAGTAAAAGCAGATGAGAGAAGCGATTTTAATGATGCGAAATAGATCTTTTAAACGCAGGCAAATAATGTCAGCGAAGGACTAAAAATGCAGCAGTGACATAATGCTTCTGTGTGTATTGTGCAAGTTGGGATACAAAATTTCAATGCACAACATTGGCGCATATCCCATGGGGGAAGTGCTGTTGCGCTCAATCCCGTTCACGGGTAAAGAAACCCGGTTGGTGGTATTGAAAATTTTGCGCACCACTGAAGTACTCCATGGAGTATTTTAAGACCTTGTCGATTCGATGTACAATCGTCTTCAAACTGTCATAAGCGAAATTGTAGTGAGTAAGGGAAAAGTTACGCCAACTTGCACCGTGAATTGGCAGTTGACTGAATTTTCAGGCACCTAAAGATGCATTCAAGACTGAATCAACAATTAACTCTCCTTCGTGGTAAACGTCATATTCTAACCACTTTCCTTCAAGTCTTTCCAGACAAATTAACAAAACTGTATTCTGCTAAGTTCTTCGAGGCAATCGCAGGGCCTTACCGGGTTATGGGTGTGCAGTGCACTTTCACAGTGACTCCCAGCTAAAGGCAGGATACACACTTAGGCATTACCTGAAACACTGGAGTATTTTTATTCATAGGAGTGCATGAGAAGAAATGGACATGCGATAATCTCTTGATTCACACTCATTTGTGCCTATTCCGATCAGAATTTGTAAGCAGA